TTAGTCTGATCTTGGTAAAACAAAAAGAAAAAACACAACACTTTAAAGACTAACAAGATAGTTTATAGGTGATAAGCTTTCATGGGGCAGACCCACTTCTTCAGATCATATTCTGAAAGTGAACTGGCATGACCATGTTATATATGGCATGACCATATAGGTTATATATGGTCATGCCAATTCACTTTCAGAATATGATCTGAAGAAGTGGGTCTGCCCCATGAAAGCTTATCACCTATAAACTATCTTGTTAGTCTTTAAAGTGTCACGTATTTCTCCTTTTGTTCTACTCAGAAGAGAAGATCCAAAAGAGATCTATGTGTGGGTTCTGCAATATAAACTATCGAGGGGAACTGGTGCAGTAACACCATCTCTCTCTCTCTGCAAAGCCAAGGCATGACCTGAATATTACACTCAACTCACAAAGTCAAGGAAAATGTACATTTGCATCACAACTACTCTGTACAACAAGTCCATTAAGAAGCATCAATATAAAGCTAACAAACACGTGAGAAGATTTCTTGCAATTAGAGAGCAAAATCTGATCAAAATTTGGTTGGGAAAACACACTCAGTTGTAAGAGTAACTACTTAAATAGGTGGACTACAGAAAGGAAGAGCGATATTAAAACTGAGAAATTTCCCTTCATTCTATACATCATTTATTCACATTTTTTCCTCCACAATTTACAGTCAGTTTACTCTTTTTTTCCAATGCCCCATCAAATAGGACAGTCCTAATATGCAACTCCAGGTACTGTAAAATAATGTCAAATATGCCAATGAAGTAGAGTCATCTCTAGAACTTTTCTGTGAAACAAACCTGTTTGATCAAAAATGTAGTACACTGGACTGTTTTATGGGTTGGGAGAAAATGAAGTATTATTTTAAAAATGATAGAAATTTAAAAAAAAAAGATGTTAGTGCTTCAAGATTGCAGTGAAAATACTTTGCAGCTAAAACACTTTTTTCTCCTGAGAATTAAAATACCATTTTAGATATATTGTTTGCTCACCACAACATGGTAGAATAAATAGTAACCGGTCTACATGATAAGTAAAAGCACATAATACCCCATATCGTATACAAAGACATGAAATAAAAGAGTAAATTGTGTGTAGTTACAAAGAAAGATCTTCTACAATTGCATAATGTTGACACAAATAACTACCACCTTCTTCACTGAAAGGTTTGCTGAACATATGAAGATATGCACTGCCTCTACTAATTTATACCTATGTGCTTTAGAGATTCTAATTTAAACATTAAAAATATTTAAAATGGCCTCAGGACTTTAAATTAAAAGATCAGGGAAAACCAAATGTGCATAGACGAGCAGTATGACATCACATAGGCAAAACAATCATTTTTGCAAAACTTCACACACCTGAGATCCATTGTGATGCTCTGTAGGATTCTATACAAAGAGCATTTTGACATTCATTAAGGAACACACAACTCAAAGCAAACCATTCAGGTAACCACTTCCGATAATCCGGCACCTTTAGGACTATCAGAAGGGGGGGGCTATGAGGGGTCTGAAGTGGGGTGGGAGGGGATGCCACTCCAGACCCCTCATAGCCCCCCCTTCAGATAGTCCGGCTCTGCCCCAGGCGTCCCTGATTCAGCTGCTGCTGGTCAGTTTCAGCAGCAGCTGGAAAGGGGATGCCTGCAATAGAGGAGCTGGGGGGGTGCCGGGGTTGTGCCGCGGG